AAGTTACAAAGGTAAAGAATTCTGTAAGTAAATTTACTTACTTACGTTTATACATGGCTACAATCATGAACGAATTATAGAGTAATGAGCAATTCGCACGTCCACACCCGGTCACAACTGTGATGAGTTATTGGTGCAAATATTGATTGTTGAGTCACACACATACACACACACACACAAATAGGTGAGTACACACACACACACACACACACACTAACACACACACACGAGTACAAGCACTCACACATATATGAGTACACAAATACACATGCAAACACACACACAAGCACACACATACACATACACAGACAGACACACACACAGTGGAATAGCCTAGAAAGTGACATAGTGGAGGCGGGAACCATACATAGTTTTAAGACGAGGTTTCATAAAGCTCATGGAGCAGGGAGAGAGAGGACCCAGTAGCAACTAGTAAAGAGGCGGGGCCAGGAGCTAAAACTCGACCCCTGCAACCACAAATAGGTGAGTACACACACACGTGGTAATGCTTTATTTACAGGGAGCAAAGTCAGGGTATTTGTCCATAATGGTCTGTAATAAACCACTGTGGATAAAATACTTCGACATATCTTGAACATTACTGAGTGAGTTTTTTCTAAATTCATTAATTTTATCGCACTCCAGTACATAATGACGCAGGGTGTGACGCACTCCAGTACATAATGACGCAGGGTATGACGCACTCCAGTACATAATGACGCAAGGTGTGACAGTAGTCCATCTGGCAAAGTTTACATTTCGTTTGGTCTACATCTGGTGGTGGTGATTTAACCTGCCATAGATACTTGGTAACCCAGCCGGAGCCAGGCAATAGTGACATCCAAGAGTCGGCTTATTTTGTTGGATGCACCATAGACGTGTGGCTCCTCCTGCATGATAGAATGATGATAGATGGACTGACTGGTATCAGTCTCCCTAAGTCTTAAGTCAATAAAATTCAGTTGAAGTTCTTTTCGTATTATTTTTCTCAAACTGCTAACTGACAACCCAAGATTGTAATCTACTCCCTCTTTGAAAGCATACAGCTTAGCCAATTTATCAGTTCTATCATGCATCTGAAGACCAATGTGAGATGGAATCCACAGTATGTGCACTTTGACTCTACTGTCCACAATCCTACCATACCTATGTCTGGCTTCTGACACAAGCATGCCACAATTTATACTTGATGAGTTGAGAGCATTTATGGATGACAGAGAATCAGTTACAATTAAAGAGTCAGCCTTAGATTCATGGACGCACTTGAGTGCAAGAAGTATGGCAAACAGTTCTGTCTGAAGGGTAGAGGCCCAGTTATTGATCCGTGCTCCAATTTCTTTAAGAGAGCCATAACTCTGAATGACAACAGCAGCACTACCACCTGCACCAGTGGATTGGTGAACAGAACCATCAACGGAAATAATTTGTAAGAGAGTATGCTGTGCGACTAAGTTATCAGTACAGCTTAAGGCATCATGTTTGGCTTCAAGGCGAAGCTTTGGTTGTGATTAATGAAGTAGTTTGGGGGGCAATGGAGGAATGGTAGTTTGGAATGGTGTAATATCCCATGGAGCGGAGAAGTGCCGCTGTTGCCTTACTTGACATAGATCATGTACGTATCTGATTCATGCGGCGGTCGGTTCCACTTTTCTCAATCCATCTGGAGGGGTGTTCACCAGTGCTGATGAAAGTTTGGAGGAGCTTCTGTGCAGGGGTTTAAATGGGCTTGCCTGAGCATATTAACCCCAATTAGGATATTTCTTTCAGTAACACGATCTCTGATTCTTGGAATATCAAGTTCTTTCTGCATATTTAAAATGTTGGCAGTACGAGGGCATCCTAAAATGATCGTCATTGCTTCGTTCTGCAGTTTTTCCAGCCCTCCAAGCTTCCAGTCAGACACGAGAGCAAGTAGTGGCGCAGCATAATCAACCAATGATCTAATATAAGCAAGATGCATCATTTTCACAATTTTAACATTAGCACCATACCTGGAGTGAAACCCTGCCACAACTCTAAGTGCTCTCAGCCTTTCTTTGTATTGGTGACAAAGTCTCGTTACAACAGGTCCAAGTAGTGGGACCTCAAAGCCCAGATACCTGTATCTGGTTACATATTCTAGAAGAGACCCATCATGCAACTGGATCTGGCGAAATGTGCCTCTCTGTCGAGGAGGACGCCTATTGAGTATCTTTGTTTTATCAGTAGAGATTATCAACCCCTGGTTGATAACCTCTACTGGGTGTTGGAGAATCCGGTGGTGTGAAACATTATATCATCAGTAAAACTAATCATGTAATGATGGGGCTGGCTAGGCATAGCATTAAGTAAGGCATTAATTAGAGTATTGAATAGAGTGGGACTGAGCACACCTCCCTGTGGGGTTCCTAATTCAAAGTCTTTAGTTATACTTCTATGACCCTGGAACAACACAGAAGACTTTCTGTTGGACAGGTAACCTTTAATCCAGCGGAGAAGCCATCCTCCAACATCCATTCTGGCAAGTTCACTAATGATTACATGTCGGATGGCTACATCAAAAGCAGATTTAAGGTCAAGGAAGGCAGTATATGGGCTGTCAGTGTGTAGGGTGAGAAAGGTGGTCATGCAATGATGCACGCTCTTTCCATTCGTGAAACCATGCAACCGGGGAGACAAAAATTTCTTGATTCTTTACATGAGACGATTAAGAATCATCCTCTCGAATGTTTTACATAAGCAGCTAGTAAGAGATATTGAGCGAAATGCATTTTGCTGACTGGGCTTAGGAACTAGAATGATGAGGCTGTTGGTGCAAGATTGAGAGAGCTCCCCAGTTACATAGCTCATGTTATATAATTCAAGTAAAGGTGTGGACGTGTCAGTGGCTCATTACTTTGTAACTTGTTCATGATTGTAACCATGTATAGGAGTGAGGCTGATTCATTACCTCTGTAACTTGCCATGATTGTAACCAGATCTACCTGGAGTTCATTACCTTTGTAACTTGCCATGATTGTGACCAGATCTACCTGGAGTTCGTTACCTTTGTAACTTGCCATGATTGTGACCAGATCTACCTGGGGTTCATTACCTTTGTAACTTGCATGATTTTGACCAGATCTACCTGGAGTTCATTACCTTTGTAACTTGCCATGATTGTGACCAGATGTACCTGGAGTTCATTACCTTTGTAACTAGTTCAGTTATCATAACTTTGGGGTCCAGTCCCTGGACCCATTATGTACCTCTGTAATCTTTTGACTACCGCCCACAGGATGGGTATGGGGTGCATAATAAACATATTAAACTAATAAACTAACTAAAGGATTGCCTGGTACTCGATACAGCAATCTGAGTATATTGCAAGTAATACCATCCTCACCAGGCGAAGTGGAGTTGCCCTTAGTTAGTGCTGCATCAAGTTCAAGGTTAGTGAAAGGAATGTTACAGTCATCTTCCTTGCCGAGCATAAAACAAACAAGTCTCTCCCTTGCATCATATTTGTCATTTAATTTTGCCTGTGTGGTACTGGGAAGATTGTTTTAGCTAGATGTAGCAGCTCAAGCACTGACTAACTCATTCGCCCTACAAGGGATGAGGGTGAGCGATCTGCCCAGTTCTGTTATCCTTAATTCTATTGATGTCCCTCCATGCCCCGCTAAGTGGGGTGTGAGCATTGAGACCGTTGACAAATTTCTCCCATTCTGTTTGCCGCAGCTCTGTCACACGCTCTCTGGCAGCAGCAAGGACTAGGTCTAGTCTGCGAGCAGTACGTTTCAGTGTTCGAAGTTTAGGATCATTGTAATAAGTATGGTTTTTATAGGAGGTATGGTTATTATGGAAGTTAGTTGGACTTAGAGTTCCAGAAGGTTTAAGAGGCGGCTCTAAGTAGTTCTGAATACTGCTCACAAGGTCATTGTTAAAGGTCTCAACAGAGGAACACTCATAGGAATTATACCAGTCAGTCACATGTGCAACAAAGTAATCATGCTGATCAGGGGGACATTAAAACGTTTCCGTTTGAATATCCCACCAGGAAGGATAGTATTACCAATACCTAGGGAGGCTAGCTGTGAAAAATGATCTTATGATATATCTGTTACAATGGAAGATTCACAGCTGGCAGAAGGAATGTTGAAGCCCAGGCACAGATCCAGGACACCTCCATAGATATATGCGGGTTCAAGGTCACCTACAATTTGCACATTATCATGACTATTTAAAAGATTAGATTTTGCCACCGAAGTGAATAGTTTATTGTGCACCCCATATCCATCCTGTGGACGGTAGCGCAAGAGCATATGGATACACAGAAGGCCTAGGAACTAGGCCCCAAAGGGTTAACATGAATACATATGGATTTATATCTACATATCTATAGTTCACTTATCTGTTACAAGCAAATTTAGGAAATTTGCTTAGTATATCTGGTATCTTATTTTCATTAATAAGGTATTTTGACATGTCACATAGGTTATTATACTGTCTGTCTCTGTATTCCTCAATAAATGGACAATTAAGCACATAGTGTTCAAGACAGTGACCATATGCCTGATCACATAATTTGCATTTAGTTTGATCATCATCTGTGTGTCTCCCAAACTGCCAGAAGTACTTGTAACCAAGCCTAAGCCTGGCCACTACATCAGTCAGTCTGTTCACAATGCAAGTTGCTCCATAAACATACTTATCTACGTTCATGTAAAGTAAAAGGACACAAGTGCAACTAATGTGACATTTTATTGTGGCAACGTTTCGCTCTCCAGGAGCTTTGACAAAGCTCCTGGAGAGCGAAACGTTGCCACAATAAAATGTCACATTAGTTGCACTTGTGTCCTTTTACTTTACATATTGTCGGTAATTCTACCAATATTATTACAATCTACGTTCATGTTATCATAGTGGGTTATAGATGTACTCAGGCTTCTAACTGCATTCCTATAACAATCATTTTCATTATTTACTTCTCCCCGAGTATTATTCCTAAGAGTGACAATAGTTGTACCTAAATAAATTCCCTTACTTAGTCGTGAAGCCGAGGTGGATACTGCGTAAGCTGTCAGTGGCCCTGATAAACCCAACACAGAAGCAAGGAAAGACAGAATAAGAGCAGCAAATGTCAGTTTCACCTTCGGATCACCTCAATGGTGCCAGGAAGAGGTTAGAGGAGGCTCTTGGCCCTGATAAGAAAGTCAAATATTTTTACCATATGAAACAGTGGTTCAGAATGAGGGTAAGTTGTCGTCTTAACTAGTTTAAAGGTTATTTTCCGTGGCATTACGGATATTTACATTCCATTTCGTCGCTGTTTAATACATGTAAGAGCCAAAGTTGGCACAACTAATTGTAGAAGATTCTGAAGCTAAGACTCGGGAGTTTGACTTTGTAACTTTCAACACAGTTGGTGTATTAATGTTTCAATATCAATGAAAAAGTGTTCTTACCAACGTTACTAAGTCACTGATTGGTTGAGATAAGTTTCCAGTATTTTCCTACTTATTAAGAGTTCCCCAGTAAATAAATTTAGTTTAAGTACTTTGTCTCATAGCTCGATGGCTAGCGCGCTCAGCTCGCACACTGAGGTCCAGGGATCGATACCCGGTACGGCTGAAAACATTAGCATGTGTTTCCTTAATACACCTGCTGTCCATGTTCACCCATCAATAAAATAGGTACCAGGGTGTTAGTCGACTGGTGTCGGTCGCATCCTGGGACAAAACTGACCTAATTTACCAGAAATGCTCTGTTCAACTGCCTCCCAGAATACATAAGGGGGATTACCAATAGACCCCTGGCAGTCTTCAAGCTGGCACTGGACAAGCACCTAAAGTCGGTTCCTGACCAGCCGGGCTGTGGCTCGTACGTTGGTTTGCGTGCAGCCAGCAGTAACAGCCTTGTTGATCAGGCTCTGATCCACCAGGAGGCCTGGTCACAGACCGGGCCGCGGGGGCATTGACCCCCGGAACTCTCTCCAGGTAACTCCAGGTAATAACAAGCAGCTTTCTATATAGGAGTATGTCATTGATGTCTTCTAGGCCTGTATACCTTGTACATGTACTTGTATTAGTAAAGATTATTGTTACTAATAATAATAATATTAATAATCCTTACCAGTGTAAGGAAATATGTCCAATGTTTCTACCCTTGCCGGGAAACAAACCCGGACACTCAGTGTGTAAAGTGAGAGCTCTTGCCACCTGGTGCCAAATAACCGAAACTGTTGCCTGGATAACTCGCTGAGGTCTGATTTAAAAAGGAAGTGATTTCACTATATAGCACCAAAACTCACAGGTTTTCTTTTTTTTATACATGGCTTGAGTGGATAACAAAACTAACAGGAAGTACTACTGGGTGGAGCTATTTTCACAGTACTGATACAACACTAACTAATGTAATTTCAATGTAGCCTCACCCAAATTAGCTCTAGCATAATTAAATGCAGTCTCATGTTGGGTTTTGTACTATTATGACGTTACACATGAATAATGAGACATGCCACTCTGCAGTAAGGCCAGCTGCCACTTTCACAGTACCTTACAAATATCTACATAGTAAGTAATGTAAAATATGAACTGGAATCAGTGTTGCTCAATATAATCACACCTTGATACACCCCGTCAACTAACTGCATAAAAACCACCTGGTGGTTCACACGTACACTCACTCACTCACCCATTTGACTATAAGCACAGAAATACGAATCTTAATCTTAAAATAATGATTCCTAACTAGTCATAAGTTTGCCTGTGATACTCCAATATAGAAACTGTATTGTGCCAAAACAAAAGCATTCACATTGCTAAACTCACAAACTAGTATTTAGTCACTTAGTACATGTATTTAGCCAACTTACTCCAAAATTTGTAATAATTTAGGGTTAAGAATTAATGTAAGTTTGCCCGAAAAGCCTAGCCATGCTAGGTGTCCTAGTGGCCCCCCTCTGTAATTAGTATTTTATTACATGTAAACCACACAATAACCAAAATCTGTAAACCCCACATTGTATTCCTTATAGAGAATAAACTTGATTGATTGATTGATTGATTGAAGTAACCCTTTTCTTTATAAAATACTTACCTAAATTTAACACACTGTATTCCTTTATATTGATAAAAATGCTTCGTTTTTAATATGGTTGTTCATTTCCTAAAAAAAAAAAAAAAATTAAATCCCTTGCCACATTTCCCTAAAAGTCTTGACGGATTGAAGATTTAACATATGTTTTTTAGCCCTAATATATTTTTTCCTTGCAACCATGATCAATGTTTTGAATTTGCTTCTTTAATGTCATGCAGATGCCACACTGTATAGTACCCGAATATATCAGAGAATAGTACAACAAAGTACTGTACTGTACTTAGCTAATGGTTAGATCTTCAACTGAATTCCAGTTAATGGATTTTTTTTTTAACTTAATATACCCTGTTATTTGAATATGTGAATGCACTTGGGAAATTCTAAGCCCCTAGGGGGTCATGCAGCACCTTGGGCATAGGAGACAATCAGGGTCCTTGAATCAAGAGCCTACCACCAATAATAGTATAACCAAATTAAGTGGTAAACCCAAGAATCATGCAGCGGTGTACAAAAGGTAGAATGTGCAAAGGTGATGAGGGAGTAAAGGGTAGTGTGTGAGAGCAGGAGTTAGTGGGGGGTAGGAGAGAGTGCAAGAGAAAAAGGAAAACTCACAGTTGGTGCAATAAGTGTCTAGTAAAAGGCCAAAGAGAGAGTCTGCATCAAAGGTGAGACTTTCAGCAAGGAGGGCAGTTAGAGATTAAGATTAAGATGTTTAGTTTATTTTGACATGATACATGGTTGTACAGAGGAATATAGAAGTTGGGTGTACATGCCAAAAGCCCCTTTGTATACAGAACATTTTGGAAGGAAGGAAGTGTTTCGGGTGGCAGAGATGACAGAAGTGAATTCAACATGCCCACTGATAATAATAATAATAATAATAATAATAATTATAATAATAATTATTTCTACAAGTACAAGGTATACAGGCCTAGCTGACATCAGTGACATACTTCTGCAGTGGAACCTCGGTTTTCGTTTGCCCTGGTTTTCGTTGAATTCGGTTTTCGACGACTGCTTTCATCAAAATTTTGTCCCAGTTTTTGCTCACCACCTTGGTTTTCATCAAGTTGACAATGGTCCGCCGTACCATCCACCCATGCCCACACAAAGCATCCCATGCGTTCTGGCTTTGTTTCTCGTTGGTAGAGGGTGGTAGTGATGGTGGTAGAGGGTGATAGTGATGGTGGTAGTGATGGTGGTAGAGGGTAGTAGTGATGGTGGTAGAGGGTAGTAGTGATGGTGGTAGAGGGTAGTAGTGATGGTGGTAGAGGGTAGTAGTGATGGTGGTAGAGATAACCTCTCCTCCCTCTCCCCTCCTCGCTGTCTTCCATACGCCAACAAGAGTCTTCAATAAAGGTAAAAGTGATATTAAATGTTCATTTATCCATTTCATTAATCCTTTATATTTATTTTTCTGTTTTCTGTAAAACTACAGTGAACCCTCGGGTAATGATTTGAATCCGTTCCAGAGAGCTAGTCCTTAACCGATTTTATCGTTAGCTGAATTGATTTTCCCCATAAGAAATAATGGAAATCCAATTAATCTGTTCCAGACACCCAAAAGTATAAAAAAAAAAATAAATCACATGAAATATGCAATTTCCTACACAGAAAACAATGATACATGAAAAATAAATACTACATGAAGAATAAATACTACATGAAGAATAAATGACACTTACCTTTATTGAAGATTTATTGATGAGTGATGAGATGGGAGGAGGGGAGATGATGGAGGTGTATTGTTGTTTGGAAGGGGAATCCCCTTCCATAAGGACTTTAGGTAGCAAGTCTTTTCCAGGGTTACTTCCCTTCTTATTTTAATGCCACTGGGAACAACTTGACAGTCACTGGACCTCTGTCGCACCAAAAATCTGTCCATAGAGCTCTGTCTCTGGCGTCCTTTAAGATTTTCCTAAAATGGGCCACAACATTGTCATTGTAAAAGTCACCAGCATGGCTTGCAATAGCTGTGCCAGGGTGATGTTCATCCATGAAGGCTTGGACCTTTGTCCACATTATATAAATGTCCTTAATCGTTGAAGAAGGTAACTTCCTCCATCTCTCTCTCTCCCCTCCTCTGAAGCAATTTCCTCAGTTGTGGTCCCTTGCTGTTGCAGATGCTCTTGCAGCTCATCAGTGGTTAGTTCTTCATCATCTTCCTCCACCAACTCTTCCACATCCTCCCCACTAACCTCCAACCCCATGAACTTCCCCAATGACACAATAGATTCCACAACTGGTATAGGCTCCTCAGGGTTAGCCCTAAACCCTTCAAAATCCCTCTCTTGTACACATTGTGGCCACAATTTCCTCCAAGCAGAGTTCAAAGTCCTGCAAGTCACTCCCTCCTAAGCCTTACCTATAAGGTTTATGCAACTGAGGATACTAAAGTGATCTTTCCAAAACTCTCTTAGGGTCAGTTCAGTGCTTGAGGTCACTTCAAAGCACTTTTGAAACACTGCTTGGGTGTACAGTTTTTTGAAATTTGAAATGACCTGCTGGTCCATGGGTTGGATGAGAGAAGTGGTGTTAGGAGGCAAAAACTTTAATAAAGCTCAACACCCCCACAATTCGCTCTTGCAAGTCTGGAGGATGAGCAGGAGCATTGTCTAATGCCAGGAAGCACTTGAGGTCCACTTTATTTTCCAGGAGGTATTTTTTCACAGTGGGGCCAAACACATGATAGAACCAATCATGGAAAATGTCCTTTGTGACCCATGCCTTACTGTTTGCCTTCCACATCACACACAAATTAGCCTTAACAACAATGTTTTTCTTGAACACACTGGGAGTTTCAGAGTGATACACGAGTAAAGGCTTCACTTTGCAATCACCACTAGCATTACTACAAAACATTAGAGTTAGCCTGTCTTTCATAGGCTTGTGTCCTGTCGGTGCTTTTTCCTCCTGTGTAATGTAGGTCTTGTTTGGCATTTTCTTCTAAAACAGGCCTGTTTTGTCACAAGCACTTGTTGGGGTTTTAATTTTTCAGTGTCTATGTACTCCTTGAATTCCTGCACATATTTTTCAGCTGCTTTTTGGTCACAACTGGCAGCCTCGCCATGCCTTATCACACTGTGTGTGCCACTACTATTCTTAAATCTCTCAAACCAACCTTTGCTGGCCTTAAATTCACTAACATCACCACTA